ACTTGGCGGCACAATAATATATTTAATACAAATTCATAGTAAATCCAGAGTTAGATCAAACCGTTACGTCCATACCATGTTGACGATATTCATTTGAGGTTTGTTTCTGAGGGAGAAGTAAATCTTTGTCAGCCTTATGTAGGTTTTTCCATTTTAATCCACTATGAGGACTGAAACTGTCAGCTTTACGTAAACGGAGATAGAGAATTCGGGTGCGAATCGTGGAAGAAATGATCTACTTTAGGCCATGTTTTGATCCGATGGTATGCTTGGTCTCGGGTCTTAAGTTGATTGTATTGACTAAAACTAACAAGGCCAGCATCAGCACCATATACTTATAAAACTATTTATTTTGGGGAGTTATTCACCGCCACGGAACTTATTAGTTCAATATTAACAGATTGATAAGATATAAGATTACTGAGAAGACGAACATATTTAATTGTCTATAGAGGTAAAGCCGCACGAAACAATGACGATTCAGTTAAAAGCATATTTTGTAGCACTTCGCGAGAAGAATAATAGTTACGCGAGAGTAAACATCAATCAGATAATAAAAATATTACCCACAGAATATCCATAAAGATATACTCAATAATGCCTGTGTTTTGTTGAAGAAATGTGATCTACGTGGAATCTTGCTAAGCTGATTGAAAAAGTGATTGCTTTGAATTTTATGTGTACAACCAAAGTCCTTATATAGTGTTGGGGACGATAGATCCCCAAAACTCATATTTTGTAATTTCATCTTATCGATTAAATGTGCAAATAGGCCAATTGATGAACTTGTAACAGCTCAGGTTGGTTGGTTAAGAGTTGACCCTAAACAACCAAGCTTATGCCAAAACAGTATTGTTCAAGTATTCATTCACTTCCTTATTTTTCATAAGCGTTATATTCCCTATTATCTTGAATGTTGAGAGCCTTTGTTTGTCTGAACAGATAATCCCACGCTCCACTGCGACTGCGCGAAGACCGAAATAAAGACCTATTCACTACTTCTCTGGTTTCTTCTATCAATAGCACGAGGGTTACCTTAAGGCACGAAAAACTCATTCGCAGATTAAGCGAACTCGTGAAGCTTCAACCCTAACATATATATCTAAGACATACAAAAGTAGCTACGTATGAACCAGTAGGAAAAATAGGGAAAACACTATTGGTATACTTGAATACACTGTATTATGATCAGCACCTTAAGAATGTCTACCTACGTACTACAGCTAAGTGAGGGTTATAAACCCATGTGAGGAATTACGATTAATATTTACAGTTGACGCTTGGGGTCGGGATTAGATTTAGGGTTTTCATCACGAATTGGTATGAACTGTAATGCCATAACTATTAAGCCAAATCCATTAGTTAATTTCGCACCAAAATTCAAGACCCGCCATTGTTAACCTGATTGGTTCCTCTATAAATTGTAGCATCGCCGAGCTAGGCAGCGGTCGCAAGGGATGCGTAGCACGGCTTATCCACACGTGGTGCCAAACGTCTTCAGCTAGGTGTGACCAGTTCAAATAACGAGGTCATCATCAATGTCGAAGACTTACAGAACTATTTCTTTCGAGGATTTGTTTTCTACCATGTGTTTCCACATGAATGTTGGTGTATCTGTTATGTACCCACAGGGATAAAAAATCAAGAATCAAATGGGTAATGAGCACCCAAATTGCTCTAAACTTGTTTTGTACACCCAGAAGGTACTCAAATCATGGATGGAAAATAATGTTGCCTTTCCGCAAGGAACAATTTTATATTAATTTGCCTCAAACATGAGCAGCAATTAGTTTGTCAGTCGCAATAAGCGTTACCTAAAATTATTCAGTAAAGTATCCATCTCCTTTGTATAAATCAAATAGATCAAGAATAATAAGTAATTCGGTTGTTCGATACGACAGGTGCTAGAATATATGGTTAAGTAAATCAAAAACCAGCACAGTCAACTAAAAGTGAAACGGAATCGAAGAGACAATTGGAACTCAAAGCCATAACAAAATTATTTCAAATGAACATGTACACGCCCACTAACATCAACGATGACTAATTCACCACTTCGTACCGAGAGGTATGGGAAATAATTCGAGACCGGAAAGCATTATAGGCTATGATCTGAAAACTTAGCGGATAAACGAAAGTCCTAAGGGATTTTGTTATTATTCAAATAAATACTTGATGAAAAATAACATGAAACTTGATATTAAGCCTTTTAGATCAATCTGATAATATCATTGGGAAATTTGTGTGAGGTAATGAAGGTGAAATTAACTTTGCAAGAGTATATTGTGAACAGGTAGAAGAGGATAAGTCAGAATATAAGTAAGCGAGTGCGTCTTACAAAAGAATGCGCTCTTGTAATTATCGTTACAAAAATGTGATATGTTACCATAACAGATGCTATGGGAGAACAAACAACTGTGGAAACAGCATTACAAAGGTTCAATACAGCCTTCCTTCGAGATACTAACAAACTCCTCCACGAGAGCTAACAGGCGTAAGTAATATTGTTTTCCAATTCTACATTACGGAAGAATATCTACCACCCCCAGCCAGTTGTTTGCATTAATTTTAAAGGTATTTCTAAAATTCTGTGCTAGGTCATTAAAGTAATGATGGGAACAGAGAACCTGATTTATTATTCTGTAACTTTCAACGTATTTGCAACATGTAATCATTATGAGTCAAAAGGACTGCAAGACCATGTTGGAGGAAGAATAGATTCTTCAGTGCATGAATGATGAAATCACTATTTATGAAACCACGAAACATCGGACCAAATGGAGCAGTAGTCAGTGACGTGTACATTGTATCTGTCCGGAAACGGGTTTGATGAAAACTCCACTGAACTCGAGCACAGCAATATAATCTGACCTTACATTAATTAAATACTAAAGTATCAAGAATGCGATCATAACAAGACCCAGTAACTAATTAAAATGATCCGGGATTTTTAACGTCTTGTTTGAAGTTTTTAATGAAAGACATCAAGGAAGCATTAACTTCAACGTGTCAAGAGGTTCTGGGTCTAAAGAAATACCATCACAAGGAATGGATCTCTACAGAAACACTGTACAAGATCAAAGAAAGGAAGAACAAGGAGGCAGCAATAAACAGCCGAACACGAGCAGAAAAAGTCCAAGCACAAGCTGAATACGCAGAAGCAAACAAGCAAGTGAAGAGGAGCATTAGAGCCGACAAGAAGTACGTGGAAGAACTATCAACGACAGCGGAAAAAGCTACTAGAGAAGGAAATATGAAACAGCTTTACGATACAACGAAGAAACTAGCAGGGAAATACAGTAAACCAGAGAAACCGGTCAAGGATAAAGAAGGCAGACCAATCACTGAAATTCAACAACAGAGGAACAGATGGGTAGAATACTTCGAGGAACTCCTGAATAGGCCGGCTCCAATGAATCCACAGGACATCGAAGCAGAACGCTCAGACCTTCCTATAGATGTCAATCCACCAACGATGGAAGAAATCAGAATGGCCATCAGACGAATCAAGAGCGGGAAAGCAGCAGGACCCGACAATATACCAGCTGAAGCACTGAAGTCAGACATCGAATTAACTAAAAACATGCTTCATCTCCTATTCAAAAAGATTTGGGAGGAGGAACAAGTGCCGATGAACTGGAAAGAACGACACGTCATCAAGATTCCAAAGAAAGGAGATCTGAGCAAATGTGAAAACTACAGAGGCATTACACTACTGTCAGTACCAGGGAAAGTCTTTAACGAAGTGTTGCTGAACCGGATGAAAGACGCAATAGATGCCCAACTTCGAGATCAATAAGCTGGATTCCGTAAGGACTGGTCATGCACAGACCAAATTGCGACACTATGGGTTATCGTCGAACAATAAATTGAAAGGAAATCGTTTCTGTACATCAACTTCATTGATTATGAAAAGGCATTTGACAGTGCAGATAGGAGCACGTTATGGAAACTTCTTCGACACTATGAAGTTCCTGAGAAGATTGTCAACATTATAAGGAACTCATACGACGGACTACACTACAAAGTCGTGCGTGGAGCGCAGCTGACAGACCCATTCCAACTAAGGACCGGAGTCAGACAAGGCTGTCTACCTTCCCCCTTCCTCATTTTTCTGGTGATCAACTGGATTATGAAGACCTCCACATCGGAGAGAAAACATGAAATACAATGGACAGCTCAGAAACAAATAGACGGTTTGGACTTCGCAGATGACCTAGCCTTCCTATCCCATACACACGAACAAATCCAGATAAAGACAAATCGTGTAGCAGCAGCCTCTTCATCAGTAGGCCTCAACATACACAATGGGAAAACCAAGGTCCTCAAATACAACACGGAGAACACCAATCCAATCACTCTTCATGGCGAAACTCTGGAAGATGTAGAATCCTTCACATACCTGGGATGCATCATCGATGGACAAGGAGGATCAGATGGGCAAAACAAGGGCCGCATTCCTACAAGTGAAGAATATATGGAACTCAAAACAACTTTCAACCAATATCAAAGTCAGAATCTTCGATACGAACGTAAAGATGGTCCTACTGTATGGAGCGGGAATTTGGAGAACTACCACAACCATCATCAAGAATATACAACTATTTAATCAGTTGGTCAGATATCATCAGCAACAGCCTTCTCTGCGAGAGAACAAACTAGCTTCCAGCTGAAGAAGAAATTAGGAAAAGACGATGGAAACGGATAGGATATACATTACGCAAATAATCAAAGTGCATCACGAGGTAAGCCCTAACTTGGAATCCTGAAGGGAAGCGGAAAAAAGGAAGACCAAAAAACACGTTACGTCGGGAAATCGAAGCAGATATGAAAAGGATGATTGATGACTGGAAGGAATTGCTTAGGACAGGGTTGGATGGAGGAGTAACAGTTGTAAGTAAGTAAGTTTCTTGTTATTTGGTTGGGATATAAATAAAATATAACAGTTAACATCAAAAAAATGATACATAACTACAAAAAAGAGTAATATCATTCAGGATTCAATGCCATGGATTATTAGGATGCTTTCCAGAAACATTACTTCGAATAATACTACTCAGTAATGATAGACCAACTGGTCCAACGGGATTTGAAGAATTTAACATTGCTAACAGAGTTGGATTCAGTTTATTAGCGTTGGTAAGTCCAGGAAGTAAATGTGAATCAGAAATAGGAGTCCTTGAATTTAAGGAATTCAATGCTGAGGCAAGAGGTAAATTATGAGTTGCTGCTGCAGCAGCTAACGCAACGGCAAAATTATTTGAAGTTGACCATAGAGGAGAATCATGTGAATGATGAATAGAGCTTTGATGAGCAGCTGCAGCAACCTGTAATGCAGCAAGTGCTCGTGGAGAATTAGAAGTTGACAATGCATTATTCGGTGTACGCGTATTAAGCCTCGTATCTGTGAACGAAACAAAAAGTCATGGAAAAATCTGAAAGAAAACATACTTTAAGAAATATCAAACTAAAATCATAACATAAAGTTGCCTTCTATAGATTGTAACTTGTCTTCATTATCGCTGTTGAGTGATATTACTACCATTTACTTGACTTGTACTATACACATAAATGACTTTTCATTACAAACAACTTGGTAAATATGATAATCTTACTGTAATTCAAACTACATTTCAGGAATAAATTCTTTCCTTCATAGCTAATCTTTTGTTGGATGCGAGCAATATTTCTAAGGTATCTGTGGTCAAATACTAGTAGCTTACGAATATCTTCTACTCATAATGGCCGCTTTTCGCAGTCGTGAAGAAGAACAGAAAGAAACGGCCGGGCAGTATACTCGTAGATGTCTCACCTTTGCCATAAGTGACGTAAGTTGGTAAAAGCCAAACGAACTTTTTGAATCTGTGCTGAGATTTCGTCAGACACCAACCCATTTCGGCTGATCAGACTTCCAACATAAGTGAAATTGTCGACGTGTTCGACTACTTTACTCCCTACCCTTAGTTCAGGCGTTGAAACTATTAAAGCAGGACTGATATTTTATTCTGATAATAAAATACTCCTAAAACAACTCAGATATCACCTTTGTATAACGAATCAATCGTTCATGATTTTTGCTTCGATTTACATACATACACTGATTCACAATGACTTACTTACTTACTTACACCTGTTACTCCTCGTGAAGGAGCATAGGTCGCTCACCAGCATTCTCCATCCAACCCTGTCCTGGGCAATCCTTTCCAGCTCCTTCCAGTTGTAATTCATCCTTTTCATATCTGCTTCTATTATCCGACGTAATGTGTTCTTTGGCCTTCCTCTTTTCCGCTTCCCTTCAGGATTCCAAGTTAGAGCTTGCCTCGTGATGCAGTTTGACGATTTGCGTAATGTATGTCCTATCCATTTCCATCGTCTTTTCCTAATTTCCTCTTCAGCTGGAAGTTGGTTTGTTCTCTCCCACAGAAGGCTATTGCTGATGGTATCCGGCCAATGGATGTTGAGTATCTTGCGTAGACAGCTATTTATAAATACTTGTACTTTCTTGATTGTGGTTGTTGTAGTTCTCCAAGTTTCAGCTCCATACAGTAGAATTGCCTTGACGCTCGTATTGAAGATTCTCATTTTGATATTGGTTGAAAGTTGTTTTGAGTTCCATATGTTCTTCAATTGTAGGAATGCGGCCCTTGCTTTGCCAATCCTCGCCTTTACGTCTGCATCTGAACCTCCTTGTATATCGATAATGCTTCCCAGGTATGTGAAGGATTCTACATCTTCCAGAGTTTCGCCATCAAGGGTGATTGGATTGCTGTTCTCCGCTTTGAATTTGAGGATCTTGGTTTTCCCTTTGTGTATACTGAGGCCTACTGATGCAGAGACTGCTGCTACACTGGCTGTTTTCATCTGCATCTGTTCGTGTGTACGTGATAGGAGGGCTAGGTCATCTGCGAAGTCCAGATCGTCTAATTGGTTCTGAGCTGTCCATTGTATTCCGTGTTTTCCTTCAGATGTTGAGGTCTTCATAATCCAGTCGACCACCAGATTCACAATGAAGCGTGTAAAAAAGTTACAGAACGTTTAAGTTCATAAGACAATTCATTTATCTTCAAGAGGACCCACCATCCAACGTATAATTTTATATTATTCATGAGAAGGAATGACAACAAAATTAGTGATATGACAATGAATCTATTATATTACATTAGTAAATCATCAATTCAGTTTCAATTGCTATATTTTCACTTACTGGGACAAATTCGATTAGTTACACTTTGTAAAACTGATGGTAAGCCCAAAAGTGAAGAATTAGTTAATGACCCAATAGAATTGAGAGGTTTAATTACATTTGTAGCATTAAATCTTCGTATAGGGTGGCCTAGGAAAAACAAGTGAGAATAATAACTAAGAAACTTGTGTAGTGGAAAGAGCATGAGAATCAAAAAGTGAATGTATGGAGGTGTTAGCAGGACATAGATTGAATTAAAACACGTTCCGTGAACGATTGTGTTGGTGCACGCTGATTGACTAGTTCTTATGCAATCAGCGCTAGTCAATACCTGGAGAAGACTCTAGAATCTTCTCATGTAAAAAATATAACATTTCTCTTATTGTGCTTCTGACTTCCATCTAACCTTATTATTTGGAATGTAATTTCCTTCCTGTTCAACCGTGTTCTGATTTGGTGACTTGTCGAGTGTCCAAGAATACTAAGCAATAGGAATAAGCTAGGTTGTAAATAAGGGAAATCATAGCAGGAGAAGATATGATCACATTGATAAGAAGTAAAACTTCAATCAACCATTAACATATTTTGCGCATAAAAATCCTTAACTTGACAAAAAGATAAACCGACAGAATGATTTGTACGGTGAAAGAGTAATGTATCGGTCAAAACTTTATTTGAAATTTTCATGACTACACATTATCAATGTAGAGAAATGATCTCCATTGCAAAAGTAAATACAGTTAAGTGAATATCAAAATTAACCAAGGTAAAAAAAGACTCAATAAGCAGCATTTATGATAGAAATATGAGTAGAAGAGTGTGGATCAGCACAATGAAACAAAACTAAAGAAATGGATTTAAAACTACATAAACTATAATTTATTAACTTGTTTACTTTACGCTAGTAGGTACATTTTCTAATGAACATATAGAATAGTGGTCCTAATTTGACCCATTGAACATGAGGTAATCGTAAGTACATCATGTACATAACCACCATACATACTCAGAAATGATTATTCGTTTTTATAGTTGAATACCTGGTTAAGATTCCAGCAACAATTGTGATTATTGATTATAGATAGTGTGACATAGATCAGGTATATTCACTCTCTAGTTATACTTCTTGAGTTTCAATGTTTCCCCAAACATAACTTCACATTCTGTCTTTTCAAACTATATCCTCGATAGTGAATCATTCTCATCACTGTTACAATTATTTCGACCCCTTTATTATTCACCTTGTTGTGGTAACGTGGTTCAGCAAATTGAGTGAACACATATTTGTGGTAGTCTCTTATAACTTGCTGGAGTTCAGTTCAACTATATCGTGAGTGTGTCAATTACTAACCGATCGTACTGGATGACCGTTGTGGTATATCACCTATCAACCGAAATTAGAAATTTGAGGCACTAAATTCCAATTCAGTAATTTAAAATTAAAGCATTGAGATGAAGATCCTGAGTTTCATTTCTTATTGCTAAGATCTGAAAACCGCCGCAAAACTACTATAGTCTGACCCTAAGTAGCATATCAAAATTGACATAAAAACAACTTACTACTCCTGTATCCCAATACCTTAATTTTATAGTGATCATGTAACCCAAAAATTTAAACTGTCTAGAAAGATTCGCAATAAAACTAGTATACAATATATACTATTCCATAATGTACACTAATTAGGAAGTTTATTCTTCTACTATGCAATTAACCTTTCCTATTGCCAAAAAACGAAAATAAATCAATTTTGAATTGATAACTCTCACAGTTGAGGATGAAATCACCGAACTTAATATATATAAGCTTGGAAATGTGTAGCGTTTCACCCCAATTTTATGGATACTTACCAGAAATGCCAGGAATGGAAGTGATATTCGATACAACAGAATTACTAACAGAACATGTCGAAGCTATTGAATGAGGTATATGTCCAGTAGGCAAAGCAGGATTAGGACAAACAGGACCAGGTATAACTTCTGAAAGCGAAGAAATTGTGTTGGGAGCACCTGTTGCAGTATTCGGGTTTGTATGACGTGGTGGTGGAGATTTCGGTCGTAATCGCTCAATTTCTTCAGTTGTTCCCAGCAACAATCCATTAGGGTCTTTATTAAAATTATTAGCATATATACGCGGGTCATAATTCGATGCAGATAGTTCATTACCTACAGTCACCCAACCCTAATATAAGAGAAAACGTATTATGATGAAGGTGGAACTAAACATTCGTAACAACTTCATGTAAAATATTACATTCAATCTTACATAGACACTGTAATCCATTAAAATAATGTAGATGTTCCCAGTTAATATGTATTTTTCTGCATTCTCTCAGTCTAACAACTCTGACAAATGTTATTTTCTAAATTCGGAAATATCGCTAACCTTGATTCTGTTGTAATTGAACAAAGAGAATCACTTGAAGGTTAATTACATCGACTAATAAAACTTCCTTTTCAACATGGAAATAAAAAAACTTATCACAGGAAACCTTGTAAGATGTTGGTCACTGTGACAACATTTTTATTATACTGTATGGTCAGACATAGTAACAGCCCAGATGATTTCATATACACATCTCACAACTGATATTTTATTTACCGTACACTTCTGAATAATCTGGTTAGCATATCTATAGTCTTGCGGGAAATTTCCGATTTTTCATCATTAGGACAACTATTTTTAACTTTGTCTTCCAAGCAATTAGTTATGAGGTTGACAAATTGTCATATTAAACGATCATATTAACATACATACTACATCAAGTATGCGACCGGAACGTTTTTAATTAAGAAACACACATCATTTGTTAGTAAGATAAATACCAGCATTAACAATGCAACTTCATTCAAGAAAAGAGTGTGAATAAGCAGTCTTTCATAAATCCATTGCAACGGGGGATTATTTGAGTGACTGAATGCTTAATAATAGTTCGTAATTTGCGTGTTACTCAAGATCTGAAGTTTGTATGGAGAGATAGATTCTCACCAATCCAAGTCGATTTATCACACGATTAGTTTGGAAAATGTGCCTCCATTTTCTAGTACTTTAAGTTTCAAATGTTTGTTTAATCTGATATCAGTTTAGGATGAAGCCTATTAGTAAAAATGATTCATATATGAACAAAGCAAATTATTAGTCAGAAAACCTATATTACTATATATATGTATGTATATTTCACTCACGGGTCTTAATGTACTATCTCTACCGAATAAATGTAATCTTCGTCTTCCAAGACAAAAATGTTCAATAATGTGAAAAATTTCGGTTGGTTTATCTTTGGCAGCATAACTGCCTTGTGGAGGAGCTTCTTCAATGATCAGATCAATGTCAATGTTAGCATGAATAAAATCTCCATCAGTGGAACGTCTAACAGTTCCGTGTATACCCATTAAGCAATGTTCTTTTGTACGTTGAAAAACACAATTCGGTTCAAGAGCTTCGTGTCCTGGATTATTGATATTTGTTTTGATCCAACATATATCTTCACAACGACGAAAACCCCATTTACGTAAGCACTAGAAAAAAAAAGAATCGACTAGTCCTTTCAAAGGAAGATGAAAGTTGGAGAGATAGTCTATTGATAAAAGAATATTTCTTCATAAAATGAAGAATTTCTCAGGAGTTGTACAGTATACATATGATGGATACATTTAGTGACGTTGGCATATATTATCGAACTAAAATAAACTGAATAGTCACTTGCAGTGACTTAGATAATCATTAATGCTTCTTTCAAACCAGAAGATTTATTTACTTATTTGTGAATGTGTTGTAACTTGAGACAATGCACATCTATGCGAGCTTCTACACTGAGGATGGCTGGCTGACCTAATATATAAAAATACTAGTATAGCTGAGCACCAGAATAGATATGCCATACGAATAGAATAGTAAAATCGCTGCGAAGACAGTTGTTAAGCGTGTGTAGGCGACAGAATTCACTGTTTCAACGTGATGCGAATGAGTTATCATCATATACACTGCTCAACCGCAACATTACTAACGTAGTGTTTCAAGAACTAGTCAATTTTATTATTTACAGTTGGTAAATAAAGTTTGAAACACTTACTTTTCGAGCAGCATCCAAACCTTCACCTGACCCACACCATATCCAAACAAATGCACGTGGAGCAGCGATTTGTTCAATTTCTAAACGTTCAATCTATACCAATAATGGTAAACAGGGAAATATGTACATTTTTGAAAATTTCTCATAACAATGACAAAAGAGACGAAATGTGAATGTTGAAATGTCAGTTATATTGAGTGGTGAGTTAAAATCGCTGTTCATTCAGTTCAAGCAATCACCCTTCAAACATAACAATATACTTCACAATGGATCCGAGTTTAAATGTGAATTACAAATTATTAGCTCAGGTACAGTCACAACTAAAAAAGAATAGATTATAGATATAAATTTTAGTTTGTGCGACGGTGTAGTGAACATAAGCTACAATACAACGAAGCCAATAGAGACTATGACGACTCAAATTCAGATCAAGCATACGTTGGATTCTCAGAAGCATTTTAAACTTTAGAATAGTGATGAATATGGATCGCTTTTACACAAAGCCTATGTTTTTATTTCGGGATTCCACAAGTCAAGAGATTACTAAGCTGAAGTTCTGAAAAAGATTCTGCATAGTTAATGAAGTCCATGTTTGTCCGTACTTAATGATTCAAAGTACAAATATTTCTAGATGAATAGTAGTATAGAACGAAAATCCAATTCTCCAATTTAATTTATCAATAATTAGTGTTCAAACTCTGAAGTCTTTGATGACAACCAATTTTTCGAGTGATTTGAGCACGTTTGAGTAGTATACTAAAATAACCGATATGCTGGAAAATCGATAGATTCTACTACTGGTTTGATCAGTTTACTGAATAGAAGCTTAAACCACCATAATTTTTCGGCACCACATTAAGTCAGATTGGATTGATTAGTTTGACTTTAATTTATTCATAAATTAATCTATTGGCAGTTTCGTTTTGTCTATTTACCATTTTTTATCACATATTGTGGACCACTGTATAAGTGTCCCATTACCCTTGTTTTATAACCAAATATGATTATAATCACAGTATCATCTACAGTAATTCAGTTACTAAGTACAGATTCACATACTTGGTTTTGAGCCACACTCTATATGTGACGGCTTGTGATACTAATCGATTGCTTAAATTGACTTATTTGTTGCAAATTTCGTACCAGACCTTACTGATTCCAACGATGCTTTTCGATTGATAAATCACACATATTATAATAAAAATAACAGCATATTGAAAACACATCACCACGCATCATTACAAAGGTTTGGTAGTTGAATTTAAACTGTTCTATTCTCAGTATCCTATAAGAAATAACTGTCGAATGGTTTAACAATTCAACTAACAGACTGTGTGTAGATGTAGAATAAAAACATGAAGTAATAAGATCAAATAGAATATTGATAAGATTGTTAACAGTAAGAGAAGTAATAAACTGAATAAACTAACCTCATCCCAACTCCAATATTGATCAAATACAGCACCATTCATTCGATGATACTCTTCTAAAGGAGGTTCAATCAGAATAACATCGAATTTTGAGTCTAACTCATTTAAATCAAATGTTCGTAAGTCAGCGAACAAATACATAGGAGGTGTAGCCTTTGATTGAATGTACTGATCTTTTAATCGAATTAACTCTCGTAATTTAGGATATTCTTCAAATCGATTTCTCAGACCTGAAATATATACATATAAAGAAATAAGTACTTAAAACTTATACTGTGAATATTTTGACTGTGTTGTTATGAACTGAGAATTTAGATAATAAACATTGAATAACTTACATAAACAATATGATCATGACTATTATGTCTTAAACAAATTAATCATCTTTATGTTGAAATTGGCTAGCAAACAAGTCATGTAATAAGAAATAATAGAACAATTAGAAGAATTTAAAACGTACCAGTATCACGAATAAAATTCTGTGGTCGTTCACCAGTATCCACAAAATGTTGACAGTAATCATTATGTGGATTAGCACTTTGAGTTCCCTACATAATAGAAACAAATTACACAAAATAATATGTTTATGATATTGAAGTGAAAGAATAAATTTCAATCCACAGATTAACAATCTAATGAGTTCGCCTCCTTTAGTCTTGCTGCCAACACTAGGTGAGGTTAGACGCAGGATATTAGGGAATGATGGTAAATCAGTTGATGAGGTTGTGAATCTCGATCGACTGAGATGGTTGGGCCACGTGTTGCGTATGCTTGAACACCGATTACCACGACACGCAACATTGACTAGTGTTGGATACGACTGGAAGAAAGTTAGGGGCGGCCAAACCAAAACATGGCATCAGTGCTTGAAGTCACTAACTTCTAGTCTAAGCCATGTTGATAGATATAGACCACTTGGTTGGGGTCTGCGTGGATATCGTAACCAATAGTTGGAGACTCTTGGTGACATGGCTCAGAATCGATCACAATAGCGTAGGTGTGTGCTACTTATATTGACATAAGTAGTATATGATGTTAGTCGTGAACAGAAGGTCTAACAGCAGAGAGACAAGAGGATCGAACAGTAAAGAATGGAAATAGAATGCAATTTGTATGAAAATGCAAGAACAATGAAGTCTGAGTCATTTTGAGACAACTGGTGAACATTTTGCAAATTAAGCATTCACTATTTGATTGTTAGATTTTATTAACAAGTCCTGTAATTTTGTGTTCAATACATTCAATTGTCCCCACCCGTGTTTTGTTCACTACAGGTGTATACACTCTTTGTCTTCCCTTAAACTATGAGATTAAAATCTCTTCATATCTTTCTTTCTAATAACTAATTCTTTCTTCCTGTATTATACCCCTATACACAATCTTTCTTTAATATATTACCACCATTGAATTAAATACTTCTATGAATCCGCTGTTCATCCTGATGTGCTAATGAGGTACGGCAACTTGGACCGATGTATATATGTGCCTGGTCTTACGTTGTAGCTGACTGACTGCCAACATTACGTACAACATAGAATAAGTTTGGAAGACAAAATTAACTAAGAAATTTCCATATAAAAAATGACAACGAAATAGAATAAGATTTCCAAAATTTAAAACAAAACAAATAAGATGGATAAGTACTGCTGGTATTGATTTTCATAACATCACCAATAAAATGGATGACAAAAAAGATCTCATAACGCAATTTCAGTAAATATGCACATGCTACCGTTAAACAATAGAAAAAATGTAGTATTGATTATTAGGATGTAATGTCAAATAACGAACTGTGAAATTCTGTATCATACAGGTTAGCCAACAGACATCTGTTGATATCGAAGAATCACTTAATTGTTTCCTGACGTTAAATTTTCGTGGCATTGAACAAAATGCCATTTTGACACATTTATTTCAAATAAAAGACAGAAACAAGGGAAACACGTTGGAAAAGTGTTTTTTACTACGATATGGAATTGGAACCCTAGATCTTTAAGATGAAATTAACCAAGATAATAGATAGGAACTCCTCTGCAGCATCGCAGTTTGATGGTTACGTGTTTATGGACATGATGTTGGGTTGGATCTCAAAAAAGACATGGTGATAAAAAACTCTAAAGTACGACAAAACAAATGCCCAGCGTTCCTTGATTTCCAGAACATCCTAAACAGATGTCAATCCGTAGTCAGAATTACTATCAAAGCTTGAAACATGACTTTAGGATGAATAAATTTCAATTTTTGTGTGTTTAGAGAATTCACTATAGGTACAACAGTTTGATCACTGAAATACAAATCCACAGAGCTTTGATATCTTTTCATCCAGAAAATGACGAATTCTGTCTTGTGTAGGGTAATTGAATCACACGAGATGAAACGGTTGGTGATAATCAATGTATGTTCTGGAATAAATCTGAACTGATGTAAACTAATACATCACATCAACACGAGATGAATTTTAAAAAAAAGAATGGCAACAAAGTTGAAATAATAACTGTATCAACGATAGTGAAAATTTTAAATACATGGAATGGAAAACAGAAGTTAGAAGTATGAAATAATATTAAAACCCAAAATTTATGGAAACGTGATAAATGAATACAAGTGTGTCGATGCGATCGATATTAAGCCATGGTTATTCCCAAATATCCCTAACCATTAATAACAATTATCATGCGAACATAACCAGGTAGTCTACGCTTATCAACACGAGTCAGATCAACAGTCAGGGACTTTAAGAACTGACAAAAGAAGACAAGTGGGAATTTATGCTGCGTTTGATTCTACTAACCATCGTAATTAAGTTATGAATGATAAAAAAGTACCCATGATTATGTAACGAGTCCAATTATAACATGATATAGAGAATCTAAAAACATACGGGAGGGTGTGGCCCCCTAAGAAAACCACCTGCTTCGGTTTGGGCACCCGGGCAGTATCCCAGCCCTCACACAAATCGAATGATTTGTGTGGCGCATAAACAGAGTTTATCCACTTTTATTATCGGAATATTTTTGTATTAGCGGCCACAACTCCAAAACCTATCATATTGAACTTCGATCAACTTTTATTACGGGGCAATTTATACTTTGTCATGGTCAATAATATTCAAATCAGTTTAACTAACGGCCCACAGAAAGTTACACTTCATAGTAGGAGTGAAGAAACCCATCATCAAGCTATACACAAAGAAGCAAAGAGGGTTAATTCCAGTTAGTGAGATTTTTTAAAAAATTGCACAATTCATGAGTTTATTTACTATAGTAACTTTCTAAATGACTATTCATGACAAAACCTATCCCCACCCTTGTTATAAACACCCCATATATATTAAATTTCATCCAATATTTCTCATAGCTTAGTAAACATTTAAAAAAGGCTCATTTCAATAATTAACTAAAAACACCATACTTTAAGAAAAGCAGCTGAACCAGTAAATGTTCTGACGACCAAATCACAATTAGAATCTCCTGTTTTACCAACAACATTGTCGTCATTTGAAGCTTTATCTCCTATATTACTGCTTGTATTTGTTGATATACAAGATGCCAGTGTTTGTCTTAATTTGTCGCCAACAACTTCAAGGCTGAATTTATCCCACTGTTGTATGATTTGTTTATTATCTTGATTTAATGTGCCGGATTCGCCTAGAAAAGACTGTATTGCACGACGAAGCTTAAGACTAAGCGCTGGGCATTTTAAACGAGAAATAATTGGTCTGTTGTAAAAAAAGATTTTAACAAGAGATAATATATACTGACTGTAGGATATTGAATTTGTCTGTCTCTAAGAAACAACTTAAGAACTTGTCAGAGGTCGTTTTAAATGGATACGCATAAGTATAAAACAAAATAAGCATTACAACTAAAACCAGCGGAAATAAAATCGAGTCTTTAGCCGGACATTTGTTAAATAACCGAAAAACTGAAACTCATTTATGGCACTCCATTACTGATGTTTGCGTGTACAAGACAGGTTCGCAGCTTAAATACGATGTTTTGGATCAAATCATTTACTTTGATACTGGATAGAGGGAGTCGATAACATGGCTTTACAGTCACAATTTAGCATTGGGAGTTAAGAAAAGTGACGCTTTAGTGGTTGAGGCGTTCGACTTTCAGCTATGACTTCAGTTTGGGCGACCGTTTCTTTAGTGTGACTCATACACAAGTAACGGATGAGTGGTTTAAACTAATTATAAGTTGACGAAACTAATCAGCGATTCTGCCAACCAAACTATGAAATAGCTGAACTAATTGCGAACTACTGAGATTGTTGGATAATGTGAATATTCATAAAAATCCAAAGCAACCCCAGCCTTCTCAAATAAAATCCTGTGTAAACAGCAGTTGACTAGTATATCCCAGATGAAAAAAAATTACCCAAACATTTGGATACAAAAGTTCCAAAACACAAAGTATCATGTTATACTTAATCGTCGGGGTATTTTTATAGATCTTACTCTTAAGAAAACTCGTCCCGTCCTATGACTTACGACTGGATAAAAGGTGGGATCTTGTACAATGTTACGGACGATATAAACCACAATAGACTTCGACAGGAAGTTGACCAGCCCTTTATTACGCATCCCTAATCATTGTTCACCTTAACGCGCAACGCCGACTGATATAGGAACGAACTGGAAAAAACGGGACGAGGCGAAAAAGGTAGAACCGACACATATTTCTTGACTGAGACGTGAAAACCTCGGTTAAAACCCACAGAAATGCGTTTCGTCTTACACTTATTAGCCATCACACAACATTTTGAACGCGTCGTTAAACTATTTGTATGGTGCATTTAAATGAAATAAACCCACAGAAACAACTGGGGTTATAGATGCACAGTGATTGTTGTGTACGAAGAATCCTATCTCTCACCATGTAGCGCGATAAATATGATAAAAATAGGTTGCATGTGGTTGTGAGAAAGTTTCTACTAGGATAACTTAAGTCCTCTGTAAACATACAAACTAAGTATGGAATGCGAGGCTGACAAAAGTACAACTTACAGAATCGCCCGCTTCCTACAAACGTCTTCGTCAAACTGTAGGTAGGAAGGTTTGCGGTAGCCAAGTAAATCTGACAGAGTAAGACTGAGTTGATTGCTGTTCTCTAACCTCAATGAGAATGAACTGTTCCTCAGAAGATGTCGTAAAATGACCCGACGTCGCCTCAATTGACGGTCTCTTAGCTGCTTATATCTCGCCCGGGAAACCTCAACACAGTCAAACGGGTTGCCGTAATCTATTTCGGTGGCCATACTGTACTTGACACTTTAGACACCTAAGGACAAAGTTTATGGAGGAACACGTTTAGAAATATATAGATCCCTTTCAGCACATATATGCTGAAGGATATAGTAGCAAGAACTGAAACGAGCGAGGAGAATGTTTTATTTTTTTGATAACAAATATTTCTGTCTACAGAGTTTCGGTAGGGGCATTGAAGACTTCACGTATGATCAGAAAACCAGAAACCGCAGAAGCGAACATTGTGATGCTTTTCACGAGCGACCTACCGATCTAGATTTAGATATGCAGCTACTTACCACTTGTATGGGTCATTGTAAATGCTACGGAAAAAACCAGACTTTGACTTTGCAGCAGTCTCTGACCTAATGGAAAACGGAGGCCCAAACATTGCTATGTAACGCTAACTGTTGAATGTAGTTCCTAATCCTCAATCCATATCGAACAACAAATAAGTGAAATATTGTCTGGTAGGATGTTAACCTAAGATATTTAAAGGCGAAACTTGATTAACCTGATTTACTAATGTATAACTGCCCTCTAACTGCATGTTGCGATGTAAATGTTGTCGTGCATCACATGTTTCTGTTTGTGTAGATGCTAGGTGAAGATGATTTGTAAGCACTTTTTCTGTATTTAATAACAACTCAAGCCGTTTTAAGGGTAGAAAACACTTGCCAATTTATTAATACTTGTATGTTAGATCACAGGTCAATGGACACAGGTGTTCCGAAGACATGAATATTCTATGGTGGACCAAACAATATATAAACGCAAAAGTATCAACAAAGTTAATAGCAATCAATAGTAATATTAATATTTACAAGTTAAATGTTACAAATGCAATAACAAATTAGGGACGTTACTTAAATCGGCTAGTCGTTGCGTGTTCTGTTGAGTTTTGGTCTCAAAAATCCACAATTATAAATGCGTAATAATTCCACAATTCTTTTTAGTCCTAAAGATACCACAAATAATCAGAGTGTGACGAGCCCCTTACCCGTAACGCCTATATGGTCGAGGTGTGCCAACCTGGTAAAATCAGAAGTCGGGAATGAATGGATTCGAGGTTATATCTAGAAAGTTGTCCATTTGTTGAGAAGCGTTTGATTTATGCTTGCTGGTAGTTGCAGGAGATGAGTTACACAGTGTACCCACTCGTTATCAAGGGTGTATCTAGTAAAACTAATAGGGTTAGCATCAATCTCGAAGACTTACAGAACTACTTATTTTGGAGATTTATTTATCGCTACAGTCATGAAACTTAACGAAGTTACTGATATTATATTATTATCATGTGCTCACTGGTGACTAGCTTCGAGAAGTAATTTTCGGAGTTCTAGTGAGGAGCTGTGACCAGTGGAGTCAAATCCATGTCAAGCATACAGCAGTTACTCATCAAAGACGATGGGTGATGGTCCAAAAATATCGTGGATAGGTTGAAGATAGACATTAACGCTGTCGGATGCCGGCTCCGTGGTCTAGAGGTTAGGCGTTTGTGCACGAGACCGAAGGTCTTTATATTGAATTCCCAGTGTGATGTCATGAATGCACACTGCTGGGGAGTCCCATAGTGGGACGAGACGGCAGTCCACTGATTCTAGAATTTCAGTGTTCGTCTAACACTGATAGGTACATGATCTCAATTAAATCCCATAGTATCGTTCATTGTTATGAAACTAGATATGAGTCGTTAAGAATAAAACAATACCCAATCTTCTAGTGTGTTGTTGCTCTCTAGTTATGTAAACGAAGATTTCTATACCATTTTACATTTAATAGGAGGATTGTAGACCGACAATCATATGGCTAACAGAACGTGGTAAAAATATCCTCAATAACCCGTTCATTTCTTATCCTACAGTGCTGAATAGGTTTCTCACCCTTTTAGGTTAATTAATTCCACATATGAAAGCTAAAGCTAGATTGATACAGTGCACAAGAATAAAAATATGTAAACTGAAAGGTATCTAGAAAGAGACCATGTGTAATGACTACATATGAGACTATATCTGTGCTCCTGTAGTCAGTTTTGTTTCTTCGAGGATGAATACTGTTTTAGACTGAATTTTCTTGCTTTATTATATGTTGTATTGGTCTATTTCGAAGATTAAAAGATTAAACTGCTTTAATTGTAGAGACGGTAAATGAGACTTGGTGTGAAAACAATTTTTGTTATCATTCGTCCTCAACCTTAACTTGTACAATAAATTTTGTTAGCTACAGCCATCCTTTCGCCACAATGTAAAATGCCCTGTATACTGTGGTATCACACTGTCTACTACTCACACGGTACATATCCTTTGAACCACATATTTTGTTCTCTATCCGGCAGGCATCCCGTTTTCAGGGTTTCCAAAATACTCTCGCGTTTTTTCCACTCAATCTACCTAGCACCATCTCATGACCTCACCATCTCGTGATCTGGAACGGATACGTGACCGGGCGCCTCCAGCTGAGTGAGTCCAGTAAAACTAATGCGGTCGGCTTCAATACCGAAGACATACAGAGCTATTGAATTGGGGGTTTTATTTACCGCTACAGATCACCCCTCCTAGTAGGGCAATGATGACTCTATGAAGTGGCCAGTCAGAAGTTTAAACCAATTAGTTTGTCGTCGGTAAACACTATTCTGATAGCTTGTTATGTTCATCAGCGTCTGGTCGTTTTTCCAAACTATAAGGGTCCATGTGGTACAATATAGTAATGAAAAACAGGTACGATGAAAATTTCGATTCACCGTTGGTTTCTTCATCTTCTACAGCCGTCCTAGAAAAGAAAAAAGGATATGTAAGTACATGTCGAACTACACTCGTGTATGCGTAAAGACACGAAATGGACGACGAAAGCAGAATAAACTTATACACATGAGTTTCTTAAACATGCAATAGCGTGAAGACGATTTTAAAAAATACACATGTAAGCAAGCATATTAGCAGCAAAAGCTTTTGTTTCTTGTCTTTCTGAAATAAAAAATATACACGAGTATATTGAAGGTCGTTTTTGCTAATTCACACAGTAGTTGAAAAAAATTCCAGACGAAACAATGTTATCAAGTGTCTTGCGTGCAGTAGTCGTTTAGGTGTTCTGGAGACCTTATCCTTCCTCGAGAAAGCGTTGTTCTGGGTTGGTTATCAGATACTTACTAAGTATGGTTGTGATTGCTAATTATTTGGTGAGGTGCCTTAATTTTGAGACTCGTGTCTTTCTATTGTATCGAAGGAAAGTGGATATGAATGGCGCTTCCTTCTAAATACGCAGTCAGTGCTGATTCTGTCGTTAGTTCCATTCTTATCAATGATATAGAACTTGCATTTACGGTGAGGAGCTTTGAAGGGTCCTTTGAAAAGTCGTCGAAGTGAGTCGCGGTGTACAATGGCGTGTGCACTATATCGTAGGGTAGGTTGAACGAAATCACCAATTTATTTCGGTCAAGTGGAAACAGGTTTCACTGAACGCACTGCTTTTGCAAGCCTCCTCGTTTAAGAGTTTAGATCCACATTCCTTGAAGAAACTGAAGAACACACGAATTCTTCCGGGAGTCGGAGTGCGGTTTAATAAACGTGTCAAGCTGCAGTGCATCCAGTGTCAGCATTGCGAATACCAAGTAAGACGAGTGAAAGATCGTCAGTCCACTGTAAAACGTTTGCAGCTGGAAGTAAAGCTTTAAGCTGTCAGTGTGTAAGGGCTTAGGTCGGTTGGTTAGGAGTTCACCTCAAACAACTAAGTATATGTCAAAACAGTAAAGTTCAACTATTCTTTCACTTCCTTATTTTGTATAGGCATTATACCTCCTATTATCTTACATTGATTGGTGAGAGGCTTTGTTGCTGTGAACAAATAATCCCACGCTCTACTGTGATTGCGCGATAATCTAAATAAAGACCTATTCACTACTTTTCCAGTTTCTTCTATCAATGGCAGGAGGGTTACCTAGAAGCACGAAAAGTGAAAGCGTTCTGCCAACTCGTTTACTTGTGGGTGGTAGGTGATCGTTTGGAGTCGTGCGACTCCTGACAGTGTAGTTAGATGAAGGAAAAGTTCAGATATAAATTGGTGTCCATGGTCTGTAGTGATAGTCGAAGGGCAGCCAAAGTTTGATAACCAATGTTTGCCGAATGTGTGGGCCACTGTTTCAGCAATAATTTTTTTGATTGGTACTGCTCCTAGTCGTTGAGTGAAAAGGTCTACACACGTTGAGAAATAAAAGTATCCATTTGGTTATGGTCAAAATCCTACCAAATTCAAATACACGTGGTCAGAAGTTTTGAATGAGCCTAAAAAGCCTTTGTTGTGTCCAATTACGTCAGATTTCTGCCAGATTACACAGGAGCGTGTACATTCCCTCACATCTTTTTTCATACGAGGCCAACAGAATCGTTCTGCAATGAGCTTGATGGTTGCTAAAACACTTGGATGAGAAGGCTGGTGCAACGCGATGTAGACGTTGTGCAGATAATGTTTCGGCACGATTGGACGATTCTCACTTGTGGATGTGTCACATAATAAGGTTACCTTACGTGTTGTTGAAGACAACTCTTGCTGAAGACCAGTGTCTTCTTTTTGGAGTTGAGCGAGTTTGAGAAGGTCGATTCATTGGAAAATGTTTGAGAAGGTAGTACAAAATAATGCGTCTGTAATTGCATTGTTTGCGTCGGAAATGAGTTGTTTATCTGAAGTAGACTGCGAAGTATAGTCTGGTTGTTGAGACTCATGAAGTGAGTACTTGTCTGAAGATGAGCTTAAACAGAAGGCAAGAGCTTAGTGTTTGGTGAGAAGAGTGAATTCCCGGACTTCAACAGTGTTGAAATTGCTGAACAGCTTAATAAATAACTAGTAGGTTCCTGTCGAAAGTGCTACACCTCGATTCGGTATCCAGAAATCGTCTCAAGAAGAATGTCAAAAGTTGTTGCTTTTCAGAGGTCGGATGCCTTGATTATCTGGAAAGTCGGTTCCGGTTTGACATTTCTGAATATTCACAGTGATACTGTGTTCTTGCAGTCGTTCGAAA